CTAAAAATCTCGGAAGAAAAAGCGATTGTTTCCTATCTTCACTGTTAACTCCACTGTGTAGCACACTATATTATTGTATATATATATATATATGCTTTTTTTTGACGTGGTTTACGAAATCATGCAAAAGCAAGTTTTATAGTTGATTAAGTACCCTCATTATTTTTTCCTATTTTATCCGTATATAATTTAGTAAAATAACAAAATAATAAATATTGTGCATAAAGATTACTTGTGGGAAAAAAAAGGTAGAAAAAATCTTAGGACAAGTTAATATTTTAAAAAACACGTATTACGTGTGTATATATACATATATTGTCTCATATTTTCGCGCTTGCCATATCAAAGTATCGTAAAAGTTAAGAACGTCTGGCGGTAAACCGCGGAACGATGCAACCGCAATATTATTCGTTTTAAGTCGTATCTATATATACTTTTACTCATTGGTAGGTGAATCTATTTTTTTTATTTTAATTCGTTCTTAAATAAAAAAAATCTTTAAATGCGAATTAATATTATTAAAATATATAGGTAAATTTGAATATAATTTTATATTAACAATTATTTATTTACTAAAGTTAAAAGTATATTTTTAAATTGTAATAAAGGAAGTGGTATTAATCATGTCTACCAATCGTCATTTTTTATTTCCAAGCTTATGTTGGAAACTGTTGCAACTGTAATATAAAAGCAAAAAAATCATCTTTTTTTTTTTCAATTATTGTCAATATTATTCTAACCGTATTAAATGTGAGAATATAAATACAAGTTATAATAAAAAATGTACGTTATTACAAAAAAGAAATTAGTATTGAATATAGAGGGCGCTGAAAGTGCATTAGATTGGTAGAACTGCACTTACGGCATTAATATGATCGACGTAGTAAATCTTCCGTTGTTCGGTGTTCTTTCCTCATCTTAAGATGGCTGATCAGGTACGTACTCTTGTATTAGTCCTCGAACGAAGCAGAATATCTTGTATTAATTTTAATAAAATAAAGTTAATAATTGTGCCGAATTAATTATATTAGAACTAGTTATTTATAAAAAGTATAATTTAATTAATAAAATTAACGCTGTAGGTTATATCGAAAGCTTTCGACGCTGCACGTGGTTAGGGCGTCATATATGTATAAACGCATTCTGTTTCAATGAAGTCAAAATATATTAACTTTTTAACGATAGATTATGGATATAGTTTAATACATAATTACAGAATGAACGTGCGTTTCAAAAACAACCCACGATCTTCCTTAATCGTAAGAAAGGTCTGGGACCAAAGAGGAGGAAGCCCATGAGATACAGTCGCAATATTGGTCTTGGTTTTAAGACTCCACGTGAGGTAAAATCACGTTTTTCTTTTTTTTTTTGTTATTTCAAATAAATACTGTTATATTCATTATTAGGCCATTGAAGGTACATACATCGATAAGAAGTGCCCATTTACCGGAAATGTTTCAATCAGAGGACGCATTCTTACCGGTGTTGTTCAAAAAATGAAAATGCAGAGAACTATTGTTATTCGAAGGGATTATCTTCATTATATTAGAAAATATAACAGATTCGAAAAACGCCATCGTAATATGAGCGTACATCTAAGTCCATGCTTCAGGTATGGTATTATTAAATCATAATGATATATATATATATATATATATAAGTAAACTAGCGTATACAATGTTATATATGATGATTTTAATTCTACGACGGTCTTCTTAACAAATTATTGAAGATAATAGAATTCTGAAAAAATTGTATTTAATCTATATTAGTATTGCTGATGAAGGAAGTACACGCTTCTTAAATATTCTTAATATTTTTTTTTGTACAGAGATGTCGAAATTGGTGATGTAGTTACTATTGGAGAATGCAGACCTCTGAGCAAGACAGTAAGATTTAATGTTTTGAAAGTTTCAAAAGGAACCGGTTCCAAGAAAAGCTTCAAGAAATTTTAATAGTCAGTTTATTAAAATGAGTAAGTATTCCTTTGCTTGTTTTATCTACTATACATTCCTAGATCATTTTGAACAAAAATATTTTATAAATGATGATAAAATTACGACGGTCTTCTGAATATAGAATGAAGGATAATCAAATTAAAACTGAATTATCATTTTGAAATTTTTAGAATCTAGTTTCATGAAAAATTGTATCTATTAATTTATTTTTCTTTTACACAGAGTTATGCAACAGAAGAAGGAACTGACGCAGAAATATCAACAATTCTACATTTTGGAAATTATGGTATATATCTATATCAATTATCATCTTGATGTATAATTGAAAATAATAAACAAGTTTGTATTTAAACACTTTTAATCGTGTTTTGAAAATTGATGATTCAGTTATTGTTAAATTATTGATAAATAGGAATTTGGAAATAGGAAAATATACAATTTAATATTATTAAGATATTTGTCTTCATTCTTATGTAAAAATTTATCATATCAAAGTATTATTTTATAACGTCATAAATTTTGGTAAAATAGCCTAGCTAAAAACACTTATTGTCATAAGTAATTACATTATTACATACAATTTTGAGAAGACCGCTCTATGTTTTAAATATTATAAATCGTTAAAGTACAATTCAATATAAAACAATTTAATTCAATATATATCTTATAAAAATGTACAGTATATACCACATTGGATACTTTCAAGTACAAATTAAAACTATATATTCTGTCATTATTAAAGACATGTATATTATTTATATATAAAGGCACTTTTAATAATTATTATATAGAGATTCTCTAATTTTTCTTATGTATACTTACAAACAGACTTAAACAATTAACACTGGCCATTGACAAATTATAGAATAGTTCTTATCTTCACTTATACCTCAATATTAATTCATAAAAAAACATTGTTTAATCCTTTCGATATTTCCAATGATTATAATTGCCTAACATATAATGCTTGTAGTCTACTACCAGTGACTATAGTAACCTATTGATTTATGCTTTCATTTAAAATGTTTTAAATCTGAATATCTTATATTGCGTTATATTGTAATATCTCATCCCCTTTATCTACTTACATTAGTAATAAAATGTATATTCGCATTGTAACTAATCCTTGCAGTAAAACCTTATTTGTGATGCATACTTAAGAATGACATAGTCATATCGAAAGGATTAATATTTTTTATACTAAATTTTTTACAATAACCCGAATAAAATTGACATTTAGATGATAATCTAAATTTTGTTATATACATATAATATATGTAATATAATGTGTTATAATATATATGTATATATATATATTTACGTAATAATTTTTTTTATACGATTATTGAAAATTAATTATCTTGTACACTGACTCGCTTTATATTTTTTTATAACTTTTCATCATGTCGAACCTCAATTTTATCAATGAACATAGAATTATATATTATAAAGCGTCAGTGAATTTTTATCCGTGCAATATTTATATTAATCTAATTTTTAAACCAATGCATTTTGTATATTAATCCACAAATTTCTATTACAACAAACATATGTTAAATATTCTACTGTATGCGTATACAGTAGTCCTTCTATTTATGAGCTATTAGAACCCATATGTCACCACAATGCAAATGGTTTTTTATGATTACATTTATGCGATTTTTATTTACATACTGTTTTTGTGGAACCAATTACTCGCATAAATGGAGAGATTACTATATTTCTATATTTTATGTTACTTTAATGGTTTGTCTTAGAAGAATATTCAGTTATATATAGTATGTATATAATAGGACCAGCAAAACCTAAGAGTAGAGAAACTCCCAAAAGTTGAGTCCACGACAACCCACAATCATCACCAGAACATTTATATGTGTCCACGAAATGTGATTCTATTACCTCACTTTCTGTGGAATTAAGTAATTGATCGTATTCTGTGTGAGATGTTTCTGGTATGTTATTTGATTTATATGTTGCTAAAGGTTCGCATACTGAATTCAGTATAATATTATTAATTTCTGTTTTGGGAAGATCAATAGGAACAGAAACATTTACTAAATTTATTAATGGTTGCACTCTTGTGATAGTATCTGATTCAGATTGTGCAGTATTATTATCTAATGTTTCTTCGCTTACTCTTGAAGTTTGATCCAAACTTTCTGTTAAAATAGAAAACGGTTGAATTGGCACTTTAATGTGTCTCCGAGCATATATTTCATTCTCTTTGTGAATCTTATTGATTCTTTTCAATTCTGATATCTAAAATCAAGAATTAAATATATTAATTCATTTAATTTTGTATTGTTCTTTGAATTTCATATTACCGTGCATCTATATCGTAGTGCTAATGCTTGCAATGTATCCTCTGGTTTAACTATCACATTTATCACTTCCACTTTCCTCGGGGAAGATGTAGTACTAGTGCGCGGTTGCAAAGGAAAATTTTCTTCATCGCCGCTATTTTCGTCATCCGAATAAAGAAATACATAATGGGGTGAACCTTCCTTCTGATTTCCACGCTGATATACCATTTGTGTCTAAATACAAATTTAAACTTATATTATAAAAGAAAAGAAAAAAAACAAATCAAAAGATGAGACAAACCAATAAAAGATTATATCAAGATAATTATTTTCATCTTATATAAAATAGATAACAACAATTTTTTAAATACTATTACAAATCTAACCTCAAGTCTAAAATATTGTACTCCTATTTAGTCATATGCACTTATTATTAGTATTTTATGATCAATATGTGAGATAGTTAAAAATGTATTATTTTTTTAACAATAATCATTGTGAATTACTTGATATTTTCTTGCCAATATAATATATAATACGGTTAATCTGTCAGAGTAGATGACAGATCATCATTGTAAGTAAGCAAAGTACGAATCATGCGCCATCTTTATTACGTTACGTATTTAATGCACAATGTCTATATGCACCGGTAGTGAAATAGTAAAACATCGGTGGATGCATACACGTGAATATAATGGATTATCCAGAACATGCGGAAGTTTTAAAAGATACAAGCAGGTGTGCTCATCTTCGAGCTAAATTAAAATTGTGTCTACTTGAAACGGATTGTTGCAAAAAAGTAAATAATTAATTGTAATATACTTCTAACCTTAAAAATTATTTAATGTTGCAATGAATTATTATAATAATTTGGAAATTTTAACCTACTGATTGGATGTTTATACGATATTTTGTTCTATTTAAGGAAAAAATCACACCAAGAGAATGCCTTCAGAGTAGACATCCAAGTGTGCCAGATGAATGTTATGCGTTTTGGCATACATTATTCGATTGCAAGCATTCTATGGTAAGTACATAAATGTAAATAATATATGTATACACAGTTGTGGCTCGTGATTTGATATTGGTGCAACAATTTTCAAAATGTACATACCAGATCTTAAAAATAGTGATATCGGTTTCGGTTTTAAAAAAGTTATGAATAATTATTACGAATAATTGAAACGTCGACATGCTTTGATTATGTTATTATGTTTCTCATTGCAGTTATTTTTTCGGTTCTAAAATCATTTTTATTTCGCCTTTTTTTATAATTGATATTATTAATTATTGCAGTTGCAGATTGTTGTATAGTGTATATTTTTTAAGAAATCATTATAAAAAAAGGAAAAACATTTATATATATCACATCGATATCTACCAAAGCGTTTAACACAAAACATGTTATGGTCAGCTAAGTGATCGGTTACAAAATTTTTGGCAACATTTCTTATTAGTTATAATGCTATTTAATGAGTCAAGAATTCTTATTACATAAATGGTATATATTTTTCTGTATATACGTTGTAAAATATATGATTTTTTGAGAACATAATATTTGATTCGCTATAGTAAAAATAGATATACATAAAGCACCGGTTACATATAATGTTGAATAAAGTATTTATTTTTTCAACTTTCGACAATTCTTTGTAATTGTGCTAAACTTTATAATTTAGCATATGTATATTTATGAGAGCGATAAGCATAAGAGAACAGTTTGATTTAGGATTGTATAAAAGTTACATTTAAAAATAAATGTCAAAGAGATACCGAAGTGAACACAGTTCGGAACAATTAAAGATCTGCTTAGGTAAAAGACAAAATTTAATGATACAATTTTCTTTGGCGAGTCATTCTAGTCCAGAAATAGAAAGAATTCGAACCTATTTGAAATGTGCATAAGAGTGAGAGAGAATGACAAGATGAAGAAAGACACGAGTGCTTGAAAGACTAATAGAAAGGTCATACTCACTGAGATTTAGTCACGTACACATTGTTTAATAAATTGAAGATCATTCTTTAGAATATTAGTTAGCTTTTTTTGCTTATATAACATATAT